AGCCGTGGACAATGACCTTCTCCAGGACTCCACGTGGCAGTAGGATTCCAGCCCTGTGGCCAAGGTGCCGTGGGGTCTTTGTGCTCAGACATGTCCAGACGTCCCAACCTACCCAGGTGACAAGGACACGCGGCTGCTTCCCTCTCCACCTCTTCCCCCAGGGCTCTGGGATCGGTCCCCTACATCCCCAGGGATGCCTGCCCAGGATCTGGCACCCCCTGGGGGCACCTCATTCCGTGATGGGCTTTCTGGCTTTTGGTAATATTTTTTTCCTTTTCCTTCTCCAGAAAAGCTCAAGCACCACAAAATCATCTTCGTGGTGGGTAAGTCTGTGTCCGAGTCCTGTCACTGGTGGGGTCAGCCCAGCCCTTTTCCCTGCACCTCTGGGCAGGGGAGCCAGGGATGGAGGCTGAGACTGTGGAGCTGTTCCCAGGCACTGTGGGGTGGCTCCAGCTTGGCTCCTCAGGGCCATGCTGGGATGTACTGGGACCAGGAATACACCTCTGGCCAGGCATGGGGTATCAGCATCTGGGGTGATGTGACAGTAAACACCTGGAGGGATGATGTCCTGGCTGCCATCAGGCAGTGGTGATGTCCTGAGTGCCAGTGGACTGGTGATGGCCAGGTGCCAATGGGACAGTGGTGTCCTGAGTCCTGGATGGGATGCTGATGCCCAGGGTGCCATCAGGCAGTGATGTCCTGAGTGCTGGGGGTCATGATACCTGGGGTGCTGTTGGGACAGGGACATCCCAGTGCTGATGGAGGGGTGGTGATGCCTGGTTGTCAGTGGGACAGTCATGACCTGGGTGGTGATGCCCTGGGTGCCATCAGGGTGTGGTGCCCACATGCCAATTGCCAGCAGCCTGTGCCACCCCCAAACACTTGGCATCCTTCAGCCCACCCCAGGAGCAGTTGTGCCCATCTGGTGCTGGGCTTGGGGACACTAGCCCCCATGTCACTGAGCTCTGAGGAGTCCTGCAGGTCTGCGCTGCAGCTCCCACATACCCCTCCCTTTCCTTACCCATGACTTTGGGGGATGTGTGCCTTGCAGGTGGCCCCGGCTCAGGAAAAGGGACACAGTGTGAGAAGATTGTGCAACCTCTCCACGGGAGATCTGCTGCGGGCAGAGGTCAGCTCGGGCTCGGAGCGGGGCAAGAAGCTGCAGGCCATCATGGAGAAGGGCGAGCTAGTGCCCCTGGTGAGTCCACGGAGGCCACTGGCTGCTGCATGGCAGGGCTGCAGGGGTGGCAGTGAGGACACCAGATATCACAGTAATGGTCAGCGTGTGGCACAGGGGCATCTCTGGTAGGGTTTGCAGCAGGGATTGGGGGTGCTGGGTGTGAGGCACGTTGTTCGTGTCATCCCTAGCAGCTCTGTCCTCCCCTCCCCAGGACACAGTGCTGGACATGCTGCGGGATGCCATGGTAGCCAAAGCAGACGTGTCCAAGGGCTTCCTCATTGATGGCTACCCTCGTGAAGTGAAGCAGGGAGAGGAGTTTGAGAAGAAGGTAAGAGCTGGTGCCATGCCATGCCATACTGTGCAGTGCCACTCACTGCCCTGGCACAGTGGCTGCGTCCAGCAGCAGCCCATCCTCCCTATCCCAGTGAAGATCCCATCCCAACAGGGTCTAAACTGGGCACCACTCCAGCAGGTCCCCCTGCCCCCTCTAGGACAGGCCAGAGGGTGGTGGAAGGGACCAGAATGTCTTCAGGCTAACAGAAGGTGACAACAGTGCAGACCTGATGGTGATGGCACAGAGCCAGGGCTTGATCACAATGTCCCGTTGCCTCCCTCCGCATGGGTCTGGAGGCCACTGGAACAATGTCCCAGTGGTCTCCACACCCATGTGGAGGGAGGAAGAGAATGGCATGGGGATATCTGTGACCCTCATGCTGACCACCACCATCTCCCCAAAGCAAACCAGTCCCACACCAACTCAGCCTGGTGACAATCTGCCCACAGATCGCCCCCCCCACGCTGCTGCTCTACGTGGATGCTGGGAAGGACACAATGGTGAAACGCCTGCTGAAGCGAGGCGAGACCAGTGGGAGGGTGGATGACAATGAGGAGACCATTAAGAAACGTTTGGAGACATACTACAAGGCCACTGAGCCTGTCATTGCCTTCTACAAGAGCAGAGGCATCGTCCGCCAGGTAAGCAGGGACATGGCCAATGCCAGCTCCCTCCAGTTCCACGGCTCAGGGTGTGTGTGGTCACAGGAAGGGGCAAGTGATGGTTGAGGATGATGAGGAAAGAGGGAAAACTGAATCCTGGCTAGTTTGGGTGGGCTTCACCCCTCTCATTCCCAACATGGAGACCCCCTCCAAGGATGGGCTGCACCCCTTTGCCCTAAATGAGCCCCAGTCTCTTCACCCACGGCCAAAATGCATCCTTGGAAGAGCTCCAGTTGGTCTCGCATGAGAGTCCTCGAGTGAGCCCCACAGCTACCCCCTCCATACTCAGCTCAACGCCGAGGGCTCCGTGGACGAGGTTTTCCAGCAGGTCTGCACCCACCTCGACTGCCTGTGAGCAACCCCCAGCCCAAGTCCCCCAGCGCACTCCGGCAGAGACAGCGGAAGCGGCTTTATCCTGTTTTCGTGGACGGAGCCGTGCGGAGGAAATTTCAAGGACATTGTGTTTGGCTCTTTCCCGTCTCTCCCCAGTAAAGTTCACTTTAATGAGCCCAGACTTTATCTTTTTCTTCTGTCGCAGGAAATGAGTTTTTCTTTCCAGAGATTTTTTTTTTTCTCCCCGCTGTCCCCCCCAGCCCCTCTGGAGCTGATTAAGGGCAGGAAGCGGGTGTTTATCCCACCGGGGCAGCGGGATGCTGCATTCGAAGGAAGGGAGGGAGCATCCCAGCTTCCCAGTCCATGGCTTGCAGGGAGCCTGTGGCCACCTCCTACAGCCAATCCCACTCGGCCTGATCCCGATCCAGTCCCTCTTACTGAAACCCCTCGTGCTCTGGAGACATGAGCAGCGTCTGAGCCATGTCCTACACATGTGTTCCTGCCCCTCAGCTATCCTGCTGGCCGCCAGGGCCTGGAGGCAACCGGATTCGGGATGGGGATTTCCACCACTTTCATGCCTTGGCATTTCCTTGTTTCTGTTGGCTGTCAGGGGGTTTTAGGATACTTGGTGGCTGCACTGTGGTGTTCTGGGGAGGCACAATGCCCTAGAGCAGGGTGCTCCCTGCTCTGATGTATCTGGGCACTCACTGCCATGGGTGTCACCTCTCAGCCCTGTCCCCGGGCTAAGGGATGCACTGGGGACACCCAAATGAGCCTGGTCACCAGGCTGGGTGTCCTTGTGGGTGAGGGACAGGGTGGTTGTCCTCAAGGGGGTGAGTCACAGGACCCCAGCAGACTGGCAGTTGAGGGTGCTGGTCTGGGGGACAGGGGTTTGGGGGCTCCCCAGCACCCACAGAGCTGCCCAGGCACGATGGCACAGCAGAGAGGCTGTAGTGAGGCTTGAGACAAACGTTTACCCAGCCCCAGTGAGGGCAGGAGGCAGCAGAGCTGCGACCCCAGCAGGGCCCCCACCACTCA